TCCCGAGGCCCGTCCCCGAACCCCTCTGCTACCTAACCCACACGACCCAGCCCCTTCCAGAGCTGGGGATAGAACCCAGAGTCCTGGCTCCCAGCCCTCCCCCAACCCCTCTGCTCTAACCCACCAGACCCCACTGCCCTCCCAGAGCTGGGGATAGAACCCAGAGTCCTGGTTCCCAGACCTCCCCCTCACCCCTCTGCTCTAACCCACCAGACCCCACTGCCCTCCCAGAGCTGGGGATAGAACCCAGAGTCCTGGCTACCAGCCCCGTCTGCTCGAACCATTAATCCCACTCCCCTTGCACTGCAGTCATTTCTCATTAGCTCCAGGGAGCACTGACTGCATAGCTAATGGGGGTCCCCTCCCTGGGGGCCTGTGGGGATGGGTCAGGGTGGTGGTGTTAGGCTCCCACGGGGTGGGGGAAAGGCATGGTCCAGGGCTCGACCCCTCCTCCTGCCCCCACAGGAAGTGTGAGTCCCTTGGTTTGACCAAGGGATTACCAAGTGGGCAGGGTGCCCAGCAGAACCCCCCCCCCAATCTCCCAGCCTGTTCCTTTACTCCTAGGGTGTCCATGGGGCAGCCCCTTTCCCTCCCCAGCTCACACATGAACCTGGCACAGAACACAGGTGTCCTGACTCCCAGTCTCCCCCACCTGAACCCCACAGGACACAGCCCCTGGGGGATGGTGGTCCCAGAGCAGAGTCCCACCCCCACATAGAGGGCACCAAGGGTCTTTTGTTGGCAAAGGGAGCTGCCACTCACTGGTCCTTGGGCATGTCCTGTCGAGCCATCTGGGTGCTGGGGGGGATGTCTCCGGGCCTTGTGGGGAGGGAGTGGGCAGTGGACAGCCCTGGCTGGTTCTCTGCAGCACCTAGAACAAAACACTCTTACTAACAGGGAGGGAGCAGCCCTCAAACCAGGAAGGAGCCCTGGGGGATGGAAAAACACAACCCATGAAGGGGGGATGGGCTTAAGAGAAACCTGCTCATACAGGGGCCTTGCAGGGAGGCTCCCAGCTCCGCTGTGGAAGGCAGGTGAAGACAGAGGCCAGGTAACCCCAGGAACAGAAAACACAGCCCTTGTGTCCCCACATTCCCTCCCAAAGCCAGGATAGACCCCAGGAGTATGGGCTCCCAGCCCCTGTCCCCTCCCAGAGCTGGGATAAAACCCAGGCTCCTGTCCGTAACTCACTAGACCTCACTCCGCTCCTCAAGCCGGGAATAACACCCAGGAGTTCTGGCTCCTGAGTGCCCCCTACTGAGCAACCTGCAGCACTGCATCCCCCAGCTCCGCACTGGGGCATCGAGACCAGCATAGACTGTGATGGGAGAACACCCCCTACCGAGCCCCCGTGCACGCCCTGCGGTACAGCACCCCCAGCAATGCACTGGGGCACTGCATCCAGCACTGACACCTAGGGGAGAACGCCCCCCACTGAGACCCTGCCCTGTTCTCTGCAGTACAGTGCCCCCCAGTACCAAACATTGGGCCAGCAGTGACTGAGGGGAGAGTGGCCAATGCAGCATCAGGCCCGCCTGTGAGATTCTCCACTGCTCACTGCGGCGAGCATACTGTGAGTCAATGGTGAGGGAGGAGTGACTGTGAGTGCCTCCCACGGCCCAGGCTTTTTCTATACAGAGCTCCCATTACCTACCAGGAATCGGCAGGGCACTCCACTGGCAAGCAGCCACAAGCCCCTTCCCTAACCTGAGGGCCCTGTCTTTGCTTGAGGCACCTCACGCACAAAAGAAATGTCCCAGCCTTGCCCTGGGTTGTGTCTGTGGTGGTAGTGGTGGGGATGAGGCTACAAGCAGCTTTTGCAGCTGTCAGCGGGTTGGGGGTGCCCTGGGTTTCCCTCTGACCAGCTTGTGACGTTATGAGTGTAATATAATATTTCACTGGAAAGTCACAGGGCCAGAAAGAGTTAATTAACTCACCAACTGACCTGACCCATGGGTGAACTTTAGAGACTGGCTAGGAAGATAGGTAAATGAATAGAGCTTTGAAGTGCAAGTCTGCAGTGTTGGAGATAGAAGGGTAGATGTTTGCTCAGGGCTTGTGATGTAAGCAAACAAGTCTTGTCTATTGCTATAACTTTAATTCAAAGATCAAAAAGGAATATTAACATTTATAATGATACTGGAGTGAAATAGTATTATTGTCTATATGTCTCTTTGAAGGTTGTGGTAACCTGTATCTGAACTGTTTAATGGATAAATTATCCTGTGCTAATTGCCAGGATGTTTGGAAGGAGAGTTAAGCCTATTGTTTTCTCAGGCCGAAAAGGCTGCTGGAAATGTATAAGAACCCTGGGACACGATCCTACTTCCTCTCAGATCTGCTTTGGGTTTCAAGAGGGGGAAACCTTAAGTCACAACGATTGAGATCCCCAGTCACTGACTGGAGTCACCCTGAATTTGGACATTGGACTATAACCTATGGACTATATCTAAAAGGACTTTTGTCAACTACAAGCTCACCTCTGCTATGTATCTGAACTTCAAGAACTGAATTCAAGTCTGTATGTATATTGATCTTTTAACCAACACTCTCTCTCTCTTTCCTTTTTTAATACATTTTAGTTTAGTTCATAAGAATTGGCTATAGCGTGTATTTTGGGTAAGATCTAAGTTATAATTGAACCTGGGTATGTGACTGATCCTTTGGGATTGGAAGAACCTTTTCTTTTATGTGATGAGATAAGATTTTCAGTAATCATCATCATATCTGACAAGTGTGTCTGGATGGAGGCCGGAGGCTGGGTACTTTAAGGGAACTGCCTTGTTTGAACTTCTAAGTAACCAGTGAGGTACTATAGAAGCTGTTTTGTGCTGGCTTGGTAAATCTAAGTATTGGAATATCCACCAGCTTCTGGGGTTTGTCTGCCCCGTTTGGTTTGCAGTTCACCCTAATTGAGTGACCTCAGCTGGCTCCCACAGGCAACTCTGTCACACGGCTAAAACAAAATATCACTCCAGCTTGCACCACCTAAACTGAGGGCTTTAACAGGAGACTTGTCTGCACTTTGAAATTTACCAAAATCTCTTTGGGACTGCTCAGCCAATGGTCAAATTAGAGACATTGGAGAATTCCGTAGGCAGGGTTGGGTGCCTGATACTTCCCATTATAGGACGCTATTGTTAAGTGCTTAAAACTTTGCTAGACTTTAACCAGACAGGCTGAAATTTCACACATGAGGCACCAGGCCAAATTTTTTTTTTTTTGAAAATTTCAGCCAAAACAGTTCCGCCATCTCCAAGAACTAGGTTTGGGAACAATGCATGGTTTTGCCCATGTTAATTATATATTTATTTTCTGGAGACCTTTACTTTGGCTCTAGCACCCCCATGCTTTGCAGCAGGGACTTGAAATTTGGCAGGCTGGGCTGTGTGCCAGGGCTGTGCCTTTTGCAATCCCCATGAAAATCCATCCACCCAAATTTGAAAATATTGCAGTTCACACATGCTCAGTAGAGACTCCTTAGAGCTTAACTAACATTTCTAAGAATCCATCCTCACTGGGCATGCTCCATCACAGAATCATAGAATATCAGGGTTGGAAGGGACCTCAGGAGGTCATCTAGTCCAACCCCCTGCTCAAAGCAGGACCAATTCCCAACTAAATCATCCCAGCCAGGGCTTTGTCAAGCCGGGCCTTAAAAACCTCCAAGGAAGGAGACGCCACCACCTCCCTAGGTAACACATTCCAGTGCTTCACCACCCTCCTAGTGAAATAGTGTTTCCTAATATCCAACCTGGACCTTCCCCACTGCAACTTGAGACCATTGCTCCTTGTTCTGTCATCTGCCACCACTGAGAACAGACGAGCTCCATCCTCTTTGGAACCCCCCTTCAGGTAGTTGAAGGCTGCTTTCAAATCCCCCCTCATTCTTCTCTTCTGGAGACTAAACAATCCCAATTCCCTCAGCCTCTCCTCATAAGTCATGTGCTCCAGACCCCTAATCATTTTTGTTA